AAAAAATATAATTTCTACCTGAAATCTTAAAAAAATATTTTATTATTGTTTTGAACATTCTATCTAGAAAGGTTTGATGGTTGTATTTACAATGTAGCTGCATTCGTATGCCTTAAATACTGCACATAGGGACGTCTTAGGACGTATTGTAATGATAGCATATCCTGTCAACGGCCATAGCATATGGAACGCATGAACGGTTTCTGTAGATTCCATATTTATGTCTCAAACTTAACTTGGAACAATATAAAGGGCATTATGCCGGATGTCATGTAATCGATGTCAGGGGCGAGTTCTAAACACGATTACGTCCAGTTAAAAAACGTGTTTATGTGAGAATGCTAAATCAATTGAAAATTTGAGTTCTTTTCCAAGCATGTGCATGTCACGTGATTTTAAAAGTCTTCTTTAATTATTGATTTACTTAATTCTTTAATTATTAATTGAATTAATTAGTTACCTTATTACAATTATTTTCCATAGAAATTAGTGTCATTTCGTCCGTTACTTTACAATAGCGTATGAAATTACAATTTTATTCAAAAATATACGCTAAAGTGACGCAGTTGTATAGCACGCACATCATTTGTCTGCTCTCCCTTCCCCATGACAGATAAAATTAAGGTAGAACTAACAGAAACACCGGCCAGTCTGTTATGCAAGAATAAAAAATATAATACTAAGCTACATCTACAATAAAGTACCTTATAAGTGTCATGCTAATCTCGAACTCATAGATATTGAATCTATCTTTATTCAGATAAAATATAATAATTCTAAACCGTTCTTAGTAATGTTTGTTTATAGGCCACCGGATATTAGTCAATTATGGATTGACACATTTGAGCAATTAAGAGATAAACTTGATCGTTTTTAAAACATTGAAACTCATATTCTTGGCGATTTAAACTTTAACTACATACCCGGAAAGAAATCAAACCAATTTACAAACGAAAGATTGCATGATGCTATCTTAAACACAAATGACCCAATTAGCCAAACACATTCAACACGTTTCGACTATCATTTGATCATATATATATACAACCAGATGCGATCTAGTTAGCGAAGTTTCATTCACGTATATAGCGTTAGTGACCACTTCCCAGTATGTTTTACAAGATCACTTTAACATTCAAAAAGTAAAAATCAAAATGAAACATAAAACGTTATAGATCGTTCAAAACATTTGATTAAATTACTTTTGGAAATGAACTATCTATTGCTCCTTTTTACATTATTGAATCAATAACTTATCCAAATGTGTCTATACAAGTTTTCTATAATATAATTAATGACGTACTTTCAAAACACGCACCTTTAAAAATAAAACGAGTTAAACGTGATATTCAGCCAAATTTGCTTTAATAAAGAAATAAAACATGTAATTTTTGAAAGAGACTGCTTACAGAAGACGGAAAAGTTTAAAAAGTTTAAAATAATGCGAAATAAGGTTTCGTCAATGATTAAGAAAAGCAAAAAAAATACAACAAGGCTATATAGAAACGTTTTATTTTGAAAAAAACAAAACAAACAAATTCTCCAAGACGAGAGCATACTTTTACCAGCTAACTTGCTAAACAATAACAATGAAGAGCTCGAATGAAAAACAAATAAATTAAATATGCTTAATGAACATTCTACCAATATATCCAATATATAATCAATAAAACATTATCAGTAGAATCAAATTTCAGTCACCACAAAGAATTTATTATCGCATGGTTTTGGAACTTTTTCTTTGTTCTTACTTAACCCATTAAGTGTTACTTACTAAGTGCACTTTCAATGAACATTTCAAAACTGTATTGATACATAAAAGTGTTGCAGTTTTTTCATTGATGCATATAGGAAAAAAACAACATCAAATATATGACAGTTGAGTGTTTTTCGCATCATACATATATCAGTATAGTTTTTTACAGAGGTTCCAATGGGGGTAGGGGTAAAACAATAATGTAAACAAGTATAATTAATGAAATGAGGTTTATTCTCATAAAATCAAAACTTTAAGGTACCATCGCTGAATGAATTATTTCCACTGAAAAAGCTCTTTTATTTTGAATCAACATTATTTTCTCCACATTTTGGATGTCATTACGCTTTCCAGGGTGATATATATTGTTTTCAATTTGATTAAAATCAGCTCTAAATAACGCTCAGCTTTTAGTTTTGCCCGTGACCCAATACGAAAGCATTTCTGGTGACATTTCAAACAGCCAATAATTGGCGAGCTTTAATAACTTTGAAAGCGACGTGGTTTCCAATTTTCACCCTGGGAAAACTAATACTGAGTGAGTAATTTTCACGATTTCGAGAACAAACATGGCGCCGACAAGATAACTGGCAAAACAATCTTGCCCAATAAAAATTTGATTATATTATTTCAAGTTTATTTGTTAAAATATACACCTAACAATTTTTTCTTACAAAAACCAACAATTTGTTTAGCTTCCACGGATAACCGGTTTTGATTGCATGGCTAAAAAAAGTTTTCTTCTGAAATCCGAATTATAAAGAAGGCGAAACATATACGGTCGTCATCAGATCTACATTAAAGAAATAAGTAGATCTGAACTTCAGTCAGATTGATCTTGTTTTATTCTCTTTTTTATTTTTTATTTCGGCGGCAGTTAAATCAACTTCAAACAACAGTTACTGCCTTATTATAAAGAGCTGTAAGGTAGCTAACGACACAATTAACTGGTATGGTTAATTTTATCTAAGGTTTCCATTTAAAACAAAAGTGAAAGAGCACAAGAGAAAGAAGAGCGCATGGGAGATTTGTTTGTTTGTTGTTTTTTTTTTCGTTTTTTTTTTCTTCTGATTTCTATTACAAAAAATGACATTGCGATAAAACGGTTATAATTTATGAAACTTGTTAGTTACAGGGGTATAACACTGGCTGGGGCGACTCGGGATGTTTCTGTAAAAATATTCCTCTCGGCCTGAGGCAAATTATTAATTTTAGACGTACCATGTCCACAATAGTAGGCTTGTAACATCTGGAGTCCCTCAGGGATATATTTTGCGCCCTCTTTTATTTTTATCATACATTAATGATATTGCTTTAGCTACTACAAATGGTAATATAGATCTTTATGCTGACGATTCTACCATATATGTATCTTATCATGATTTGAATGCAGAAGAAAATAAACGAAGATCGATGATGCAATTAAAACAATATGTTAATCCGTCCAAATAAAACAAAATGCATGATATTATGTAGAAACAAAACAGTAATTATTGTAATGAACTTACTTTATGTATTGCAAAACAAAAAGTAGAAAATGTAAACATACAAAAATTATGAGGTATTTAAATTGTTAATGACTTGTCGTAGGATTACCAAATTGAATCACTTTGTTTAAAAAGTGACTCAAAAATAGCATTATTGAGGCGCATGTCTTATTGTTTGACAGATGAAATGAAAAAGTTATTAATTATTGCATATTTAATGTCGAATTTTGATTATTGCTGTACTGTTTGGAGCAAAGGAAATTTATGGTCTTTAAATGAAAAAAATGTACAAAAAACAAATAAGAGCTAAACGGATTATTTCAAACAAAACATCACGAATTATGGAAGGGTTCCAGAGGTACGGATATTCCAATCCGAATCGCAAACGTAAGTCAGATATTTTTTCTTGGATATTTATTCTACCATATTTCATCCTATCTTAAATTCTTTACCTTGATAAAACTATTTTTCATAATAATTTTTGTCATTTCTCACGTAACTATTTTCTTACAACAGCGAACCGGTAGGAAATTACAGCTTCATTCTTAACGGCGAAATGACGTCATCGTAATAAGCATGTCATTGTATAGACCGCGATCTCCATGCCAGATGAAATTTCTGGTATGGGTACTTACGGACAAATCAGTCTGATATGCAAGAAAATGCAATTCTTGCGTTTGTGTTAAAGTGACATTATGCTATTTTTCACTATGTAGCTGAGATAAATTAGATATATATTTGTATAATTATTTTACGTGAATGACTATAATAATGGCGATTGAACAATAATTGATAATCACAAATATTAAGGATAATAATTATGTTTAAACAGCCTAAAATATCAAAATACTATCTAACTCTTTTAATAATATGAACATTATGCATGTGTAAGTATTCATCCCTGCTGTTCTACCGAAATTGGAAACTTCGACGGGAGTGATAGCGACAGGAGAATGTTTGTAATTTCTGTAGAACAGATTCGGATGAATACTAACATACTTAGTGTCAAGCTTTATTTGGCCTCATTATTATTCACTTAATTGCGTCACTTCGCGGATGAAGAACCATGAAAATTAGGTGACTGTGAACGGAATTTGATATAGTATCGACTTTTGTTCTTCTATGAAAATTAAAACACACAATTTTCAGGAAATACAGCGTTTTCATTGGATGACAAATAAAGCTGGACACATGATAATTCTGCTGGAAATTTATAGATATTGATGTTGGTGAAAGGGTTATTCACTACTCAATTGACATTTATCATTAAATTTAAATGTAGAGTTATGAACACTCACTATTTACCTTTGGATGGACAAAATGTGAAACATTGTTCTGTTTAGATTCTAACTTGAGAGTAACTGCTTGATATCAATAATAGCAAATAGTGATTAATCACCCATATTGTTATTGGAACTGGTCTATATATTTGTCAAACATAAAGAGAAGAAATCAAATAACGCTAATTGGAAAACTATTAATCGTCAGATGATATTGCTGAATATTAAAGTATTCACAGATCACATATAAAAATACCAGTCATGTAAGAGAAGTGTAGAATGCTTTCAAAGACTTTAAATTCTATTTTACTGTGATATAATGTGATTAAGATGTGATTTAAAGTGATTTGTATGTATTTTTTAATTTAAACATATTTATTTCAATATTTTACATATATTACATTTTATATGTATATAATTGTTACATAAAATTGAAAGGGATTAGAACGAAAGAAAACTTATATATTTCCTCTCCCATAAATATATTATGTGAATAGATCTAAATTAAACAATTAGAAATGATTTTTCTGACAAAACAAACACGTGTTATATCTTGCCACACAAAAATAACCATCAAGGTAAAATGCATAGTGTTGTTGACATTGCTTTGTTGTGTTTCGGGTAATGAAAATGTGTATCAAAGGACTAACGATATATTTCTACAAAATACTTTTTCGACACTCACAAGTCCTACAAGAGTTAAATGTTGTGCTTATTGTGATCAGACGGACGATTGTATGAGTGTTAGTTATCAGGAATCATCTAGAACTTGCAAGTTGTCGAGAGATCCATTGGTATCTGTGTTTGTGAACGGACAGACGGACACCAGTTGGAAAAGTTACAGTAAAAATGGTAAGCTTATTGATAAAGATATATGAAATTGTACTAACTTAATCTAAATCTGCTTGAAAGGGCATTTTTTAAAAACATTTTCACCCAAAATGACACATTCATATTCAATGGTTCAAGGATTCAGGAGGATTGACATAATTTTAAAACTGAATACAGGAAGAAATTATTCCAGCACTGCTTATGTTACTCCTTCACGCCAAGAAGTCCACCCCCCACACACACACCCAAACCGAAATTCTAGAGATCGAGCTTATCAAGAGTTTCTTCTTAAAGCAGATTCATGACTTTTTAAAAAAATATATATCTCTTAGATATTGTAAAGTGAGCAAAGAAAGTAGTTTACACATTGGAAAAGGCACTTGTCATACTGTTTAATTATACACTTCAATAACAAAAGACAGAAGCCAAAATATGCAAAAATAGCCCTTACTGCGTTAGTCACGCAATATGGTAATAAATACTTCAAAATGAATCATTAATTATCGCACATACCATGTTAATAATTGAATCATGAGTCCTTTTACTTTCTTAGAATATTCGGGGTTTTTTGGTTGTTTTTTTTATTTAATTTTCTTGAAAAAATTTTGGCTCATCAGGAGGCATGCAGTTTTAAATAAGAACGTATACCATCATTGATTTTTTTTTTGATAATTATTTGAATATTCTTTTTAATGCTTTGTTTATACTGAGTAACAATTTTTACAGTGATAGTGCGACCGAGATGTTAAATATCTTGAATGTTACACATGTAGTTGGTAGCTATTGAATACCGAGTCTCAAGAAATGAACAATAGTTAATAATAAGTTTTGCATGTTGATATTTCACTTTATTCAGTTGTCATCATTAAGTGATTGAAATTTTAACAGAAAAAAACACTTTCAAGTAAGAAAATATACTCCTTATTTGGTTCAACCCTTTCCGTATGTTTATTTTATAAATTTGAAATTGTTTGTTTAATTGTGTGTTTGTTTCTTATTCACATGCTTTCATCATGTATTGGCAGTCTGTCCACAAAACCGGCGTTAAAATAATGCTCTATTTTTACTTTATTAAGTTGAAAACAAAAGAATCATGCTAATTTTCATGAAAATTTTGAAAATATTTTTAACAGTATAATATTGTAAAGTAAGCAAAAGGAAGCAATTTACACATTATCAATGACACTAACCTACATGCCAAAAAGAGGTAAAGTTTTGCAATATTAGCCTTATCTGCGTTAGTAACGCGGTAGAAATATAGTTGTAAATATTAAACAAATCAGTCTAACATGGCAATTATCACTTGAATCTTGAATCTCTTTACTTTTCCTAAAATCTTAGTACATGTACATGTACATTTTTCTCAAGTTTGGTTTTATTGAAATACTTTGGCTCATCTGGAAGCATGCAGCTTATCAATCGAATAAAGCTTATATACTACACGACACGATAAGATTATAAATTCATTATGTCTAACTAATATATAATAAATTTCTGCACAAGTGACAGACTACTAATCCCAAATGATTTGTAAATCAGCGGTGAAAGTCATTTAATGACCATTAGGCTCAATATCTGAGAACAACAATAACAGATAAAAGAGCTGCGTTGTGACAAAACCAACATAATGGGTTTGCGACCAGCATGGATCCAGACCAGCCTGCGCATCCGCGAAGTCTGATCAGGATCCATGCTGTTCGCTTTCCAACTCTATTACAATTAGAGAAACTGATAGCGAACAGCATGAATCCTGAACAAATTTCACATCGTCCGAGGATCGAACCGGTAACCACTTGGTCCCTGTTTAGCTAAATTGACAGAAATTAAAAGTCAAGATGATTTAAACAATAATTTAACCGGTATGACTGACGACCTTAGAGACTGATGTGTATCATAGTTTGGGACCTTTCTGTTGAAAATATGTCAGAGTTAAATCGTATATACATATACATGCACAGTGCGTTAGCTAGAGTGCATGTATTAGTTACCCGCACCCCAGAGCATGCCAATTGATTGGACTATTTTTGCTGGGGTTTGCTTATTGTGACGACAGAGGGAAAGCGATCGAAATATCATATTCAGATGCTTGTTCATTAGTTACTTTTTCTGGGGTTCCATATTGTGACAACAGGGAACGTGTTTTTATGTTTGACTATGGTACAAAAGATAAAGAACATCAAAACATTCGGCAATCTGATAATCGAGGGCTACGCCCCCTCGTTCAAAATCAAACAGCCTCGTGTTTCGACTAAACTTATATATAAATTAATGGAAACCGATAAAATATCACGGAAATTACCGATTATTAAATATTAAATGTTGTATTCTAACATCAATGTCAAATAAAAGTAAACAAATGAGCATTCAAACATTTGAAGAATTACCTGATTTACAAATAAATTCATCAGTTGTAAATTTATATTTAGAAAGTGGATCTACAATGTTTTTGTAGTATACGGTATTAAATTCTAAATACCCATGTGGTCTTATCTATTTGTTTTGGTGGTTTGACTAATGAACGAAGGACAGAATGAAACAGTTCTGCAATATTTGTTTAATTGAAAATATCAATTGATGTAAATATGAATTATTCAGAATGTTCTGGTACTTACAAATTCATTCCATTAGGCATCAGCATTAGCCTAAAACGATTTTATCAATATAACTTTAATTAACTGATTATTGCGATGCCCAAAACCAATCTTTTATTAATAACATGTCTGAAAGCTTATTGTTAATATCGTAGTTCTCATTTATAAAACATGGATAAAATAATGATAATAATAAAATAAAACAAAAACCAATAACAACAAACAAACAAAAACAAAGAAAAGGAAAAAATGTTTTCGAAAATAAAGTTACGCATGACTGCATGCATATTCATGAATTATTTCATTGTTTGGTTTGTGATTTCTCGAAAGCCTTTTTATTATTGATATTTGCATATTTGCCATTTGCCATGTTTGCAAAGAAGGATTTTTTTCGTTTCTGAGGCATAAAGTGCCTTTAAATATACGTTTGTCAAATGGCATGTTACTGGTGTGCACTTGACATCGTCATAGTAGAGCTTTCACTTTTATCATTGTCATCTGAAGGTACACCGGAACTGACATTTTCAGTCATTTACAAATACATGTATATAGATTAAAAACATTATGCTTGATTATTCTGTTGTGAATAATATAGTGCCCCCACCTCGTGCCCCACCTCGTGATGCCGTAACAGTTAAAGTTTAAAAAGCCAAAAAAAAATTACTTTTTTAATATTTCTGTTTAAAAACAGAAATTTATCGTAAAACAGTGGGACTAGATATATAAAATATCTGTATCTTTGACTGATCAAATATTTAAATCATTATATTGTCATGAATATGTATGTTTTATGTAAATAAGAGTTATATGTCCCTTTATATTTATCATACTGCAAAATAAAAGAACGACTGACTTCGTTCGAAGATAAGTTATAAATTCCTTCAGCATCCCGTAAACTTCGGACAAGAGGCCTCATATAAATTCATCGAGGTTATAAGTGTATGTTTTGAAGTTCTTCTACAACTTCTCCAAATTTGTAAATGTCTAATAAAGAAGGGGACATTAAGAATATCACTGTTATTTTTTTCTGTACTGTATAAACGTATCTATATCACTGTTCCTACAAGGAGGCGCATGACATGTTAGCCGCCATTATACCATGCCACTGAAAATAGTTACTGAATATGTCGCCTTAATATGGCAAAGCAATAGTCGAGAGATCCAATTGATCCGATAGGATACTTCTATCTGGCTCACAAAAATCAAGTTTTATTGAATATAAATCCTAGTTTGCATATTTACAATACAAAAACATGAGACAAATACATTTGTTATAATGGTAATAATAAACAGTTACCAATTGAATAATAAGAGATAAATAGGGTCGGAATGTGATAATCGGCATGCAAAACGAAAAAGAAATATAAAGAGACAAATACACGGCAGAGCAGTGCCGGACGGTGAAAATCGGTCCGCAAAATGAAAAATGGCCCCTGGAGCACTCATAATCAGTTCAAATCATAGTAATTTTGTTACTTTATGTGTATATTTAGTAACAAGTGTAAATACCGTTCTAATGCAAGGTCTATACAAACCTCTCTTGAAAATTACTCCTCTTGCAAAAAGGTGTCCTAAATTCATGTTATATCCCCCAAATAAAAAATGGGTCTATTATTTGCAAATACAAGCTTAACAGATAAATTACATATTTCAGAATGGTTGTTAGTGTTTCGTGGAACTCCAGGTATCGGTGGTGATATATATACAGCATGGGTTGACGGAATTGGCGTCACCGTAGATGACGTCACATGCATGACGACTGACGTTACTACGTGCAATAAGAATTATCGTAATCCAATAGTTGATTCTTGGAGTTCAGTAGGAATGCAACAGGTACAACATACTTTTAACAGAGAAAATATGATTGAATCATTTTATTTTATTATGAAACATAAATGTAGCTAAAAAATCACATCAGTCAATAATACAGTTTGTTCAAATGTCCACCAACCTCTAAATACTTTCCGCTTTGCAACTTTCAGAGTCAGTGAATAGGCAAATTAACACTAATTAGATTTTCCTTTTTAAAATCTTGTTGTAATACACTAGTGTATTGAAATCGTTTTTTTAAAATCCATTATTATCAATGTTCAGTAAAGTAATAGCTCACAATGTTGGAGAATCTTGTTTGATTCTGCATCTCCCACCATGAATGTCCTTTAGATAAATAACAAAGTAAAAGCAACCGGTGATAAATCAAATATCCATACATACAATTATACTTTACAAAATATAAGTTCAAAAATGACTTAGACTGTATCACATTGCCCGATTCACTTACTGAACGACCTTTTTTCTTACCAGGTAAAGTTTGCTTTTTACAAGGACAACGAAGAAGCTGCCTACGTAATATTTGACGCGACCGGAAGTGACATTACCAGCTGGTTCTCTTCATCAAATATTGTGGATTCATCTTGGACCACACTTGCCACGGATTCTTTGAATATTTTCTCCATCTATGGGTGTGTAGCTTCATTCTAAGCCATTTCATAAAATCTAAATTTTAAATAAAAAAACACAAACAAAAAACAACAACAAAAACAAACAAACAAACAAACAAAAAAAAAAATAAAAAAAATCAAAGCATAAAAGGTGCTGAATTTGTTTGGGTCTCAGAATGTCAGAAAGGTGAAGGTTGTGAGATTATAAACCAATTTGTGCCACCAATGCTTTCAAACGTTTTAATTGTAGTAAATTGGCTATAAGACTAATTGCAACACTGATATTCAATTCAATGTTTATTTGACTTAAACAATTTGAAAAAAAAATGAGTTGCCTTAACTGGGATTTGAACTCCAGACCTCTTGCATCCTAAGCGAACGCGCTTACCCATCGACCACGGTGCAGTTATATGTTATCGGCCATATTATACTAAATTAGGGTTTGTAACCCTTATTATTTCGACGCTAACTGTTGTTTAACACAGATATAAATAATCATGGAGCTTACTATAAGCATGTATATCTATAAAGAATAAAACAATATTCGACCATTCGGGAACTATTTTGCTTGAAAATTAATGTGCCTGTCATTTGACCATCTTTACGTAGTGATCTCCCCTGAATTTTTCGGCGTTAGTCTTATAAAGGGAAGTAACCGCTTCAAAAAAGCGGACTTCTTTCGGCAATTAACAGCATCAGAGTCAGAAATTTCGCTACCATTATTTGTTTGGTCTGACGACCCAAACAAATAAAAACCAACAAAAAACAACAACAATATCTTTGGAAAGATATAAGCTTAATTAAAAAATTAATAACAAAGATTTTATGGTAGAAATTTTTTTTATTTCCATGTTTATTTTTCTTAATTTTATCTTTTTTAAAAAAAAAAATCAAATTTTCTTAAGGTATTATTTCAAAATTTAACAGTTAAGTTCTACTATTTCAAATTGAATAGTACTACTGTAATTCCAGCTGTTGTTTCTTAACTATTCAAGTAGACAGCCTCCGTGGTCGAGGGGTTAGAGTCGATGACTTCTAATCCAGTTACCTCTCTGGCGTGGGTTTGATCCTCGGGAGATGCTTTGGTAGTTTAGCGCGGAGGAAGGTAGTCTAGTACTGGTGTAACTCTCCAGGAACGATGGTTAGGAAACTACCCGCCTATATGACTGAAATACTGTTGGAAAAGGCGTAAAATGAAACAACCAACAAACTATTCAAGTTTTTTTTACTCTGTCATATTGAATGAAAACTTTTATTTTTAACGTTATAGTCATGATCCAGGTAGAAGGTTTATGATCAATCGTAATTATGGTGGATGCCCTGCAGATGCCGGATATTCGATTATTGTTATTAATAAGGCACTACCTTGTACGTACGACATCCAATCGTCTTACCCACAATTCATAATTTCTACATCCGCAACTTCTGGCACTCCCGAAACGATGACAGGTAAAACGAACCTAATTATCATCAACTCTAAATTTCTAGATATTTAAGCAAATTATGAGCAAAAATGAAAGCCGCCATATTGGTATGTTGTGAAATTATGAACTCATAACGGAAAACTCCCTCTCTCTAGACAGAAATATACTAGAAGTACTTTGTTTTTTAATGTCTTGTTAATTTTGGCTAAAGTCCTGAAACATCTTTTATATTTGTGCAATGGGACTAAACATATACATTTTTGCACTTTGATTTGTAATGTAAAGTTTGATTTGTGTGAATTCCCACGGTGTCGCTATTTTTCTTTCAGGAATGGATAAAGCAGATGTTATGGCCATATTCATAAAATAAAAACACGTCGGGGAGTTTAACGTCGTATACTCGTGAACATCTACATTTGCAGAATGAACAATTGTTGAGCCAACAAAAGCATGCACCGCTTCATAATACAGCACATCACACCGTGTTATATTCATAACTTATTTAATGCTTTCATCCGTAAAAATTATATTTGATGATTTTACAGTGAAAATTATCAAAATATAATCTCACACTCTTCAATGATGAGACTACATTTTTAAGATTTTTTCCATGTGGTACCCCATTTGTATTATTGTTCACAATTCTAACATTGTCAGAACTGTTGTAGACAAAAGCAAAGTTGAAATTGATAAATAACTTAAATTTCAAAAGTAATAAAGAAGAAGACTTACTTCAATTCATTCAAATAACCAATCACCAAATATCGTCTCTAAATTTTTGTTTCATTTTTACAGTCTGAAAAATACAATTCCTTCCACATGCTGCTCTTGATGACATTTGGTCATATTTAAGTATCCAACGAGCAATAACTGCCCAATCACTTACAAAGCAATGACAGCCATCAGCCCGAAGTATAAGTAAACAAAGCCAGCGTTCGTAAGGTGGCCTTTCCACAATTCCATGTTTTCTAATTGCCTAGCTTTTTTCTGAATGTTTACACATCTGCCAACACTTATTTATTGTCTGTAACAATCCTCAAATAAGTTTTCTTTCTTCTAGAAAGATATATGACTAACAAATCCAAATGATATCCCTCTGAATCAAACACAATTTTTTTCCTCCCGTGAAATACACCACTTTTAAAAATGGCGGCCGCTTACATTTCACAGAGCCAGGTCTGATATAAATTCGCCGTGAGTAACAGAAATAAGAATGGATGGTTTGATTTTTTCTCTTACTTGAATTGTTTGGTTGTATTATTAAAACAAGCGATCATTCATATAAATTAAATAAAATGAATAATATCATCGCCATTTAACGTTGATTGACGAACTTATTTTTCAGCCAAAGCCTTCTTGTAATTTAGGAGAAATTTTACTTAATGCGGCTACCAGTGGGGAAAACAGATTTAAATATTAAAAATCATATTAAGGAAATTTAATTTAATTTTATTTATATGCATAAAATAAAAAGAAAATTTGTTGTTTTTTTGTTGTATAAGATGTAATTTTATTTCATCTCGTGAACTTTAAAAACAGTATTCTCACTAGTGGCTAAGCCACTCGTGAGAATACTGTTTTTTAAAGTTCAAGAGATGAAACAAAATTTCATCATCATCATCATCATCATCATCATTGACTATTAGCTTTAAATAAATTAACACAAGTTTTGTTTCTTTTTTAGTTTTTTAATGTTACTTACTACAAAACAGTAAAGTCAGTAAATTTGAATTTAATCATTGATATTAAATGGTAAAACAAAACATCCAAAAGTCTACTAAAGTGTACTTTGTTCTCCCAACAAAATAAAGATAAAAGTTGGATTGGGGATATTTTAGTCAAAATAAATAATTGACGTCTCGGGTAAAGGCGAAAATAATGTCGACACCACACGGAGCTATTCATGAAATGAAACTGTGAATTAATCGGAACACCTCAACAATAATTCGTAATCATCCCGGAGTTAATACGGATTAAAAATACTTAAGATGATGTAAACACAAAATTAGATGTTATCTGTGTATAATGAATAATGAATAGATATATTTGACATCCAAAGAAAAATAGTATATTCTATTTTAGTAAAATTGTGATTAAAAAGGATGTCTGACAGTCATTATTTAAATCCCTTACTGATGTACAATTATAACCATATCAGAATTATTATCAACAGGTACAATTTTTTTCACTTTCGGTTTCTATAAACATAATCAAGTCGAGTCAAATATTTCATTTTTCGAAAAAAACAAAACAAAAAAAAAAAAAAAACATGTTCAATCGCCATTTTGATTACCCAATTATTTCTATTTCATTCATATTATATCAAATCCATTTCCATACAAAATGTCGAAACGTTTTTAAAGCATGTAAATGAAGCAAGTTTACGTAAACGAAAATTAAATATAATTGAAAACACTTTTGGATAGTGTTGGATGTAAAATAATTTTCTTAACGTAAAAACAGTGGTACAAATTTTACAGATATTTGAATTATACTTTTAAGTTGGTCAGCCAATTACATGACGCCTAGTCAGACTGCGCGGATGAGCAGGCTGGCTTGGCATTATACAGGACACAAAGGCTAACCACGTTTGGTTCGAGCAGTGTAAACGTTAGGTAACGTTAATCTTAAGTTAGAAAATAAAATGGGTCAAAGACAGATAAGGCCGGGTTGCATTTGTACACCAAATATCATGAGGCTGTGATGTTACGAAAAAAATTTCCATTGACCCATTAATGTCGAAAATTTAATTCAGTAGGTAAACAGGAAGTGGATTTAAGCTACACACCTAAAATCAAATCCCACAGTATGGGACCATGTGTCAATGCTGTATGCCAAATATCAAGAGGCTGTGATAAGTAGTTTCTGAGAAAAATGTTACGAAAATTTCCTACCATTGACCATTAATGTGAACAGGAAGTTGATGAGCTGCAGACTTGAAATCGAATCCCACAGTATGGGACCATGTGTCAATGCTGCATGCCAAATATCAAGAGGCTGTGATAAGTAGTTGCTGAGGAAACTGTTACGAAAATTTCCTACCATTGACCATTAATGTCGAAAAATCTAACTAATTTAACTAAGTGGATTAACAGGAAGTGGATGAGCGACAGACCTGAAATCGAATCCCACGGTATGGGACAATATGTCAATGCTGTATGCCAAATATCAAGAGACTGTGATAAGTAGTTGCTGAGAAAACTGTTACGAAAATTTCCTACCATTGACCATTAATGTCGAAAAATCTAACTAATTTAACTAAGTGGATAAACAGGAAGTAGATAAGCGACAGACCTGAAATCGAATCCCACAGTATGGGACTATGTGCAAATGCTGCATGCCAAATATCCAGAGGCTGTGATAAGTAGTTGCTGAGAAAACTGTTACGAAAATTTCCTACCATTGACCGTTAATGTCGAAAAATCTAACTAATTTAACTAAGTGGATAAACAGGAAGTGGATAAGCGACAGACCTGAAATCGAATCCCACAGTATGGGACTATGTGCCAATGCTGTATGCCAAATATCCAGAGGCTGTGATAAGTAGTTGCTGAGAAAACTGTTACGAAAATTTCCTACCATTGACCATTAATGTCGAAAAATCTAACTAATTTAACTAAGTGGATAAACAGGAAGTGGATGAGCGACATACCTGAAATCAAATCCCACGGTATGGGACCATGTGTCAATGCTGTACGCCACATATCAAGATGCTGTGATAAGTAGTTGCTGAGAAAACTGTTACGAAAATTTCCTACATTGACCATTAATGTCAAAAAATCTAACTAATTTAACTAAGTGGATAAACAGGAAGTGGATGATCGACAGACCTGAAATCAAATCCACAGTATGGGACAATATTCCAATGCTGTATGCCAAATATCAAGAGGCTGTGATAAGTAGTTGCTGAGAAAACTGTTACGAAAAATTTCCTACCATTACCATTAAATTCGAAAAAACTAACTAATTTAACTAAGTGGAAAACGGGAAAAGTGGGGGACGACAGACCTAAAAATCGAACCCCACGGTATGGGGCCCCATTTCAATGCTGTTTGGCCAAATATCAAGGGGATGTTTAAGTAGTTGCTGAAAAAAACCCTGTTACGAAAGGTTTTTTCCCCCCCCGCCCCCCCGCCCCCCCGGGGAACGCCGCCCAACTTTAAACCATACAAACCCCCCGGGGTTTTTCCCAACCAGTGAAACCCGGCCAAAAATATAAAATAACAACTTTTATTTTAAGCGAGATTTATAATCATAAATCTGTTTATAAGGGTTTTAAACCGGGTTAAAAGTATTTTTCCCAAAAACGTTAAAAGGTAAAGTTTTTTAAATTGGGGGGGGCCTTTTTTTTTAAATTTTTTTTTTGGAAAAAGGCTAAATAAAAACGGTGGCAAAATTTTGAATAAAATTCATGTTCGGTTTTTATTGCTATCAATGGGCCTACCCTTGTCAGACCTTTTTCATCTACTGAACGTGTAGATATGAATATAATTATATTATTGTTATAATACCGTAACTTATCGCCATTTTATTTCAAAGTTCATTAAACATATAGGCAATTCTGACGTCATATATCAGATAACAATGTACGCAACAACAGCCACGTACGCATGGTTTAATTATAAACAATAAGCCATTAATCATTAATTATCGCATGGTTTGAAATTTTTTCTTTGTTCTTACTACATTATACTCAGTACACGTTCAATGAGGATTTGAAAACTTTATCGATAACAGTGCAGTGTTTTCATTTAATTATATAGGAAAAAACTCAACTTACATATCTCAGTGTAGTTTTTTTCCACATAGGCTTCAATGGGACATGCGTAGCAAATGATATAAACAAGTGTTATAAATGAAATGAAATTTATTCTCATATAATCAAAAGGTACATCCGCTGATTGAATTATTTCAACTGAAAAAAAGCCCTTTTATCTTGAACTCCACTATGTATCAGTTTACAATCCGTCTCTAACATTGGATGTCTTTAAGTTTGCAAGGGTTGTAGATATTGTCTTTTGCCTTTTTTTCTTTTTTTTTTATTCGTCAGCGAAAAAACTTCAAACAAAAACGCCCTTATTATATTGTAAATTTATTTCGAATTTAAAAGCTGCTACACCTAATTGTATGGTTTATGGTTAGTTAGGCATATTCCCATTAGCCTTACAAGTGAAAGCAAGAGTTTTGTGTTTCTGGAGTTAAATTATTAATGCTAAGGAAAATAAGATATGTAAACTTCTTTATAAAAAAATGTTGTCATTGTCCTCTAGGAATATTGTTAATTCTAAATTGATAAATTTTTGTGAAAGTGAAACCACTTAGTAATATCAGCATGTCAGAATATTTTCCTTTAACAGAAGGTAGATAATATTAATCACTTTAAAAAATATTGTGTAAGCTTAGACTACAAGATCAATTTTTACAAGATTGGCATAGTACTGTTGAATACTTGCCTCTAAGTGTTTAGTGTATCCGTACATATTAAAAATACTCATTTGTTTTTGAAAAAATAATCTAAAGATGTACTTCCTTTTGACATAGGCAAATATTTATGTAAATTTAGAACAATGAATCACCTCTTACCAATTGAAAAAAGGCAGACATTTCGCAATTGATCATAATA